CTTTGACGATTAATGAAGTCTTGCACCGGTCCTTGGATTCACAAGGTTGTGGGTGCTGGATCGTTTTGGACACAGAGTGGTTGCCATGTCCTTCTGTTTGACCGGAGTTTCCACCAATCACATCTCCCTCGGTGTGACATGTGTCGGTAGATAAGGTCCATCGCCGAGGGAGTCTGATTGTCTTAAAATCGAACCGCGACATTCCCCCTTACTTGAATCCGAAACACTGGTTTCGGAGCATGCGGTGACATCATCAGTCTCACCCGAGTTTTGTTGTGAAAGCATAGTTGTAAGGTGCTTGTATCGTCCTTTCGCAATTGTTTTCAACCGAGCATTGCGAAGTGTTCTTCCGATACGCAACATGACCCGGCTAACTGCCAATGGCACACCAGTTGTCGACGTGAGCCATCCAGACAATGCTGAGTCTAAGGAGGTTTTGCAGATGGTCGTGGTGTCGACTTCGGGTCTTTCACTTGTCGAACTGCAACCCTCAGGAATGGTTCAACGGCTTTCACTTTTGCAATCTTGACCGGGTCCCTAGGAACGGGGTTGTTTTTTTGCACTAATAGTCAGATGATTTGAGCTATGCGAGCTGGCATGCTGTCCACGAGGGTCCTGTAATACGCGAGAGTGATGCGATTCCACTCAAACTGAATTTTGCGCTTTAAATCCTCGACATTGTCGAACTGGCGTCCATTTGCGTAAACGGCGCGAGCCGAAACACTCCAGACATTTTCGATTGGGTTCAAATCGGGGCTCAGAGCGGGCCAACCCATCGTCGGAACATCTCCAGCCTATAGAAAGGCCATGGTATATCTTGAAACGTGTATGGACGCGTTGTCTTGTTGAAACACGACGAAATTTCCAACGTTCTTTGCTCGGACGGGGGTCATAAATGGCAATACGTAAGTCGCCAACGTTTCACAGTACTTGATGGAGTTATGTTTGCCTTGTAGGATGGCCAGTTCATTCTTTCCATCGTTGGAAAACACCCCCCACAACATTACACTTCGGCCACTACCGACGCGCTTGGAGTACATTTCTTGGGGGAGTCAACAGTTATGCCATTAGCTTTGAAAACCATCGGGACCATCTATGTTGAACTTTTTTTCGTCCGAAAATATCGTTATGTGTGTTAAGGTTGGTACTCGTACACGGCGAAAATCAGCGCTCCCGTGGGCAGCACTTTGATCAAGTTTGGCGTGAGTCCCTTGTAAAACCCACGCAAGCCTTCGTGTCTACAAATAGCATTGGTTCAATATCTTCTCATTGGTCAGGGTGAAAATCTGCGACGCCCTCGTCCTCAAGCACCTTGTCGTTCGCATCGACTTGGCGGCCGTACTGCTTACGGATATTGCGGTGTTGGGGTATCTCCGGGGGTCCTTCCTTGGTCATGTGCACCTTGAAGTAGGTGTACCACACGACAACGCCACAGCCATCCACCATGCACTTAAGGCGACCACATGAAGTCATTTTGAAAAGTGACTCGTAGCTAAAGCCGTTAGTTTTCAACGGTCTTATCTGTGCAAGAATTTACGTATCCGAATGTTTATCCGGCGTTATTCAATTCCCCGAGAACAGGGTCAACCCCTGCTGCCGGGGAATTCCTCGTCAAGTAATGATTATCCCACTATCTGTCCGACTTCGACCGTATGATTGCTTGCCCGGCTTGAAGTTTTTCTAAAATGGCAACTCTGTCACAGCTGTCGTTTACTCCGGCGTAATATATTTG